CATCAAAATAATAAATCTAGTTTGTTAGTACGAAACGATAACACTTGTACGCGAACTGGACGAGTACAAAAACTGAGATCTGTGTCAGATATTCATGTCTCCTGATAATTCATGGTTTCCATACCTCTTTTTTCCCTCTCTTCTCTCTCCTTCTTTTCCTTTTCTTCCTTTTCAATCTTTCGCTTCACCTTCCGCTCCGCAATGCGTACTTTCCTGCGCTCTTCCATGCGTTGCTTCCTGGCCTCATCCAGACGTTTTTGGAATTCTGCCATCTTTTCCTGTTAAGAAAAAATATTGGCTCTTCGTACGTTCATACGCTACACTTGATAATGCCAAGTTTCTCTTCAATGAATACTATAGCTCCTATAAAGCAGAGTGCAATAAGTGAAACAAAAATACACTTAGACAGAAGAAAGCTACTGCACATGTAACAAACTTAAAGAAGGTACGCATAGTTTCACTACTTTCTTGTTTGCACGAGGCACACTGAGTAGGCCAATGATTAGCGAGCTTAACTCCCGATACAACCAGGTCACGAACGGCTTCTACTTTCACCTTGCCTTGCACTTGTACACTACAGTGCGTCGCGTATTAAACTTCACTTCACACTTCAACTAACTCCTTGCGCCAGAGTGGTGCATAAGGCTCAACCTCGTTCCCAGGGTCCTCTCTCTTCCTCCCTCGAGAAAGTACCCTGGTTGCAGCTGGTCACGAGTCTACTAGATTTTTGCAGATTCCAGAAAAATGATTGAAGGGAGGGGCAGGACAGTTAAAGTTTGTCTCCACTGAGCTCACCTACTGTCCCCAGTAGGGAGTAAAATTTGTAACCTTCCTGTTGTGGATCNTCCTCAAAGGAGTTCAGTCACCAAATTCTAAGTTATTTTGGCCACGTACAAAATTGAAGGAAACCTGAAAATAAAACTTCACCAAGATAGAAAAATACTAAAGAGTTAAGAATACACCATGAAGGAACAAGGATGGAGAAGATTAAAACGGATTACAAACGACGGGCTGTAATGTGCTAATATAGAGACAATGTCATTTACCCTCTCCTCCTCTTGTTCTTCCCAGAACTGTTTGTCCTGCACAAGATGTTCTTCATACTGCTGTTTTAGCTTTGGAATCTCCTCCACTCGCATTGCTCGTGCAAGGTAATCCATCTAGACCGAGATGAAGTAAAGATTAGCAAACTTAGGCAAGTACAGTTCTTAGGCACAAGTCACCCAAGAACAAAGGGAATTTTCGTACACAGGACTGGTCAAAAAAAGGATAAACCGAAATTAAGCTGGAGTCTGTACTGTGTGTGGCAGAAAGAGGAACCAAGACAAAATCTAAAAACATTCAGCAACAGTTTGATCTTATACCAAAGTACTCAACGAAGAAATGACCGGTACTCAGTCGAATGTGAGGTGATTTAGAGTAAAATAAACATGCACAAATGATTAGTTTAATCTCCTTACCAATTTCACATAACTACTATTACAACATTTAACGACATCAAGACATTTTCTGCTCTTGCGCGATCCATCAGTTTTTTTGGGTGGGGTGGGATGGGGGTGGGAGTAGTTGAAGTCCCTTCGATGCCTTGGAAGTGTGACAACTACACGTGTGCTTTACCTTCTTTTCTTGAGTCTTGAGTCTTATCTGCAGCTCTCTCTTCTCTTTGTCAAGTTGTTCCACTTGTCTGGCCAGGATATCATCTGCATCCATGGCTTCAATTTCCTGTTCACCAACGAAAAAAACAAAAACAAAACAAAAACAAAAACAAAAAAAACAAAAAAATATATAAATTATTGTTACCATCTAACACAAGTAGCAGAGTAAAACCCAGAAGTGCACCTTGCATGAAGGGGCAGGTTTTCCTAAGGAACATGTACTTCCTCGTAATCATGCATTTTTCCTTATGGTTCTTTCCTTTTAATCAATGAAAACAAAGCGACATTCAATAATTGCCACTGTGTAAAAAATTCCCCAGCATATTTATTTTCGATGAGGTAAAGGTAAAGTCTGCATACAAGCCAAGTGACTCATCAGGCCAGAGCTTATCCCAGTTTCTGTGGCATGAAGCAACTACAAATATTTCTACTCCCCCCTGGATGGGATGCTAGTCCATCCCAGGGTTACCACCAGCATAACGTTTGCCAGTACCATTTATACACCAGGGTGGAAAGAGGCACTGTGAGAGTAAAGTGACTTGACCAAGAACACAATGCAATGTCCCCAGCCAGGGCTCAAACCCAGACCGCTTGGTCTGGAAACAAGCGCACTAAACATGAGGCCACCTCGTCATTCTGACAAGAGGGGTCCTTAATCTCTAACCTCCTCTGTTAAATCCTTCAGAGCCTTGGCACCAACAGTAGTTTTCTTGAGTGCAGCAATCTTGTCCATGGCCTGCTTCTTCTCGATCTCCTGAAGCTCTTGTTTTCTACGCAGTACCTCCCTCTTCTGTCTCTCTTCATTGAGACGCTTCTGTTCTGCTTCTAAATTCTCTTTTTGCTGTAACCTCAACATCTTCTGTTCTTCTCGTTCCTACGTTACATACAATTACAGTCAAATGAGTGTTTTGTCTCCACGGAGAGGTTTTGGAAGTCCAAGAATCTCATGTAAATGTATGGAGAATGCACTTTCACATGCATTTTTTTAAAAAATGCTAGTAAAACAAAAAGTGTCCAGGCTTGCATTTTGCATGTGCTTTGGTCGTTGACCTACTTGTACAGTTATGCAAGTACTGTTGGTGACCTAGCAGACTACTACACCACCTTTTTTGAATACCTCACTTATTTTTTCACTGCAAAATCTTTGCTTCTAAGTACATGGACGTCACTAAGTTCACACAGAACCATCATAGTAATGTCTTCTTTTTGTATCACAGAATAAGGAATCAATAATGATACAACATACAAGTATTGAAAGGACTTTCAAGTAGATTCACGTACAAGTTTGTAAGTGTCAAGTTCACTTTTCAAGGAAGTTTGATTTTTAACTTAAATGAATTCTAAAGGGTGAACAAGCTAACCAAGAGTAAAACGTCACTAAGATAGAAAACAAGAGAAAGAAGTGACTTGCTAACCAAAAGTACAAGAGACTTTAAGAATGACCTTTCTGGCAAAGAAAAAGAAAACTTACTGTAAATTGCCATCTGTCTTAAGCCGTTGGTACACTGAAGTGAGAATATTAGTATTGTATTTGCTGTAAATATAAGAGATTTTCTTCATGCTGGATTGTTATAAAGGTTAGAGGAAAGGGAAACACAATTTTTGCTGTTTGCCCTTTGCCAACAAATATGTCATTCTTCAACTCTCTATTTATATTGATATTAATAGCTATTCTTAAGAAACACTTGCCCTTTTAACATGAAGAGACTCTAGATATTCTTTGCGAGCCTCAATCACAAGCTTCCTCTCCAGCATCTGCTTGTGTTCCTTCTTTGAAGAGCGTAAATACACCTGGACAATCCTTTGCTGTTCCTCTTGGCACTTTTGCTGGAAATGATGGAGAAACCAAACATTACTANAAAAGGGTTACGGTTCGGACCATGGGGTGGAGCCTCCCCATACAAAACTTTGTAGGGTACCTCCCCCCCTTCCGAGAAGGCAACCCCCTAAGCTTAAGTGCATTGAGTATCCCTGGGGAATTCACGCAAGTGTCCAGTGCACAGACACTTCACATTAAAAAGGCCTTGCATACCTTGATGGCCTCAGGTTGTATTTTGGTGATCGCCTTGTGCAATGCTGTAGACATCAGTGTCAACTGATTTCTTAGACGCTCTGATGGCATTGACTACAACAAACAATACATAAGTTTAAACATATAACATTGAGAAAAGGTTACTTACTAGATTAAGTCAAATCAAGACAAGCCAAAATTTCATACTAGTCAGCTCAAACTCAAGGCTAAAGTCTTGAAATGTCGGCAAAACCGATGACACAAGGCAATTTCATACCCTTCCGAAATTTACGACAATTGACACAGAGCCTCAGTAACACAATCTCTCACTCTTGTGCAATGGTTGCAATTTAAGAACTGTTGCCATCATTACTACATGTACATGTATGTGTACCTTTTAAATGAACAAGAATACCTCAGCCCACACCTAATAAAAATACCTTAACCCACTTTTTGCACTATTCACAGCGCGACTGATTAAATGAAAGGTATACGTAGCTAATTTAAGGTCTTACTTTGCATTATTTTAATTCCCCTGGCACAAGCCCAAATCAGTGACAACCTATGAACCTATTATGAGAATTTCTCTGTAGATCATACAGTACCTGCAGGTACGGTCCTTCTGGCACCTCCTCTTTGTGAGCCACATGCAAGTCAAGTCCAAAACTGATGGCCTTAGTTCTGTGATCAATGCGCACCTGCATAATGCAACAAAACAAAATAAGGATTGAAAACAAAAAACAAATGCACTCATTCCCAACTGAACCAATAAGAGTAGAGTCTACAATCTCCAGTGCCCAGTGGCTGGATACTCCACAATGGTTTTTCTCAACAATTATTGTTATGTTCTAAAATATTACATGTACATTACTGATATTTTTTTTCCATGGTTTTTCCAACCAGCTGGATGCTCAACTAATGNTTCTGAAAGAAATGACTCACTCTGTAGTCTGCAATACAGTTGTTGCCACTGAGGACTGTCATTAGGTTTTGAGTCATCTGTTGCCTTGTTACGTAGCTGTAGCATATGATATTATTTAATGTCAATTACACAGGGGTCGTTACCCAGTTCCCAGAGCTGGAGGCTCATGATAAATGCTTTGCTTTGTTGCATAGTGGGTTAAGTATATCAACAACAGGCAAGTTAACCTATAACATTAAGAGCTCCTCAGGTAGATGTTCCAAGTATTTCCAAATAGAATAACCTTCAGGAAACATTTGAGTTCTGCTCATGTATCAAACACACACAACTATCTGAAGAGCCGTTACGCTATGAAACCCCAGTGAACATTCAAGTACATTGTTGTTTGTTTAGGTTGTAAAAATGCCACACAAAAACATAATCCTTACCATGTCATTTATGAGCGATGCCCTTGTAGGGATGGTCTGCAGCCCAAGGAGGCCTGCTAAACGGCGGGATTTCTCACGTGCAATCTCGTCCAACTCCAGATGCTTCTCTGTCTCACTAAGCGACACTGGGATTGGAATGGCCAGTGTGGCTAGCATAACTCTGGATGCCATTCTGGCAAAAAAAGGAATCAAAATGTAACAGTGAGCTGCAGCCTATAGAATACAAACTCATTAGACATCACACTGATATCCAAACACAATGCCCAATGGGCTGCATCAGACTATGGGTGGTTAAGATTCTCCTCAACACGTGTTGGAAGCTAGGACAGTGATGTAAAAGTGAGTCATCATCTGCAGCTCAGGCACATGTACACATTGCTAACTTAAGGGGGGCAGATAATGCTTATCAGTCAGAATCTGGTTCAAACGGTTTGGTTTACAAATAAAATGTAAAATGTAAAATTTGGCAAGTGTTATTGTATCATGTATCTAAAAGTGCCTCTCTCATCCCTGGAGCATACATGGGTATTGGGAAACTGTCTGGGTAACCTTAATTTATGTAACGCTTAAATCACCCTGCAATGGACTAGCCTCTTATCCAGGGGATGTGGCAATAATTGTTGTTGCTTCATGCTCCAGCAACCACAGTTAAGCCCCAGCACCACTTGCAACAACACCATCTTCTTTTGATCTTTTGGATTTGAATAGGGTTTACCAGATGTTAACTCCAGGGTATATATTTCTTTGGGAGGATGTTTATGGGTGTATTAAGTAATTAAGATATATCACTTCACTGAGCACCCTTTGTCAGTTCCCCACAGCATTCAAAGCTGCTTTACGAAAACTTACTTCTGATGTTCCTCGGTGGTAATCGTCCGCTTCTGTTCTCTCGACAGCACGTACAGACGATGAAGAGTGCAGGCATGAAATAAGTAGTTCTCAGCCTTCCAGAAGACAAGAGCAACCTTCTGGTAATAGTTGGCCATCACCTGAGGCTTTGGAGGTCGCTTGGAAAGCTGCATGAGTCCATAGACATCTTCTACAGCTTTAAATGCTTCCTGAAATGGAGTAACATAGAACAAAGTTTATTAAAATGTCCCAATGTCCAAGATAAGTAGATTTACAAAATTTGGGAATTATGGAAACTTCAACTGGTCCCAAACTAACATTTTTGTTGTTCTTCTCTCATTACAATGGACAATTTAGATGTATTGAATGACGTACATGTACATGTACATTCTGCAGTCTTGGAATGTTCACCAGTTTGCACACTATTCTGACCTTCAATGCATGATTATGAATCAAAGTGAATGTGTAGTTAACAAATTAAAACAATTTGGACATTGTAAAGGACTATAGCAGTACGTGACACTCCGCCACCGAAAACTGGGTTATTTTCATAACACCCCGTCATTGCGGACTCTTGCTATTACAGACACCAAATGACAGTCACAATGGTGTCTGCTATAACAAGAGTTGAGTGTAATTATATGCAAGTTTGACAAACTCCTTTTTGGTAACAACGAAAATGGACCTGAAGCACCAAACTGAGAAAATTCTGAAAGATGCCATAGCAGAATAATTTCACAACAAAACCAAGATTGAAATTTAATATACCACTTGAACATGCTTTGCACACGTATGCTTTGGAAGTTGCCATTCAAATACAGTCACTGCCATGCACATATCTCTGTTTCAATGCTGGGTTTTATTTGTAAGACAAATTCTATCTAACAAACAACAGTTCACAAACCTGCCACAGTTCCATGTTGATGGCACTCTCCAACTGAGCAAGTCGCGTTTCCAGGTGAAGCTGTAGAGTCTCTGGGTTGGTGAGGTTCACCGTATTTGGCTGCCCTTGGTGCTTGATAGCATTGTTTAAATGATTTCTCAACTGAACAATGAAACACAAAACAAAGTTACATGTTAACCACTAATAAACATGAATGTACTGTAATTCAGGCAATGACTGCAGTTTGATGGAGTAAAAGCACAAAAATACCACAAGTATATGTTTTCTGTACATGTAACAACAAAACAATTGTACTTACATTGTCACATAGCTTTCGAAATTCTGTGCGACGGGAATACTTCAAACAGAACTTGAAAGCTGAAATTAGGTTACACAAAGTTAGCATTACAGAGGANACACCATCTTCTTTTGATCTTTTGGATTTGAATAGGGTTTACCAGATGTTAACTCCAGGGTATATATTTCTTTGGGAGGATGTTTATGGGTGTATTAAGTAATTAAGATATATCACTTCACTGAGCACCCTTTGTCAGTTCCCCACAGCATTCAAAGCTGCTTTACGAAAACTTACTTCTGATGTTCCTCGGTGGTAATCGTCCGCTTCTGTTCTCTCGACAGCACGTACAGACGATGAAGAGTGCAGGCATGAAATAAGTAGTTCTCAGCCTTCCAGAAGACAAGAGCAACCTTCTGGTAATAGTTGGCCATCACCTGAGGCTTTGGAGGTCGCTTGGAAAGCTGCATGAGTCCATAAACATCTTCTACAGCTTTAAATGCTTCCTGAAATAGAGTAACATGTAACAAAATTTATTAAAATGTCCCATAGTCCAAGATAAGTAGATTTACAAAACTTGGGAGTTACAGAATTGTGGACACTTGGCACAGCTGGTCCCAAACCAAAATTGTTGTTGATCTTCCCTCATTACAGTGGACAATTTAGAAGCATTGAATGATGTATATTCTGCAGTCTTGGAATGTTCACTAGTTTGTACACTATTCTGACCTTTAATGCATGATTGTGAATCAAAGTGAATGTGTAGTTTACAAATTAAAAGAATTTGGACATTGTAAAGGACTATAGCAGTATGTGACACTTCGCCACCGAAAACTGTGTCATTTTCAAGACACCCCCCTACTGAGGACTCTTGCTATTACAGACACCAAATGACAGTCGCAATGGTGTCTGCTATAACAAGAGTTGACTATAGTTATATGTAAGTTTGACAAACTCCTTATTGGTAACAATGAATGTGGACCTGAAGCACCAAACTGAGAAAATTCTGAAAGATACCATACCAGAATAATTTCACAACAAAACCAAGATTGAAATTTAATATATCACTTGAACATGCTTTGTAGACATATGCCTTAGAAGTTGCCATTCACATACAGTCACTGCCAAGCATGTATCTCTGTTTCAATGCTGGGTTTTATTTGTAAGACAAATTCTACCTAACAAATAACAGTTCACAAACCTGCCATAGTTCCATGTTGATGGCACTCTCCAACTGAGCAAGTCGTGTTTCCAGGTGAAGCTGTAGTGTCTCTGGGTTGGTGAGGTTCACTGTATTTGGCTGCCCTTGGTGCTTGATGGCATTGTTTAAATGATTTCTCAACTGAACAATGAAACACAAAACAAAGTTACAAGTTAACCACTATGATGGAGTAAAAGCACAAAAATACCACAAGTATATGTTTTCTGTACATGTAACAACAAAACAACTTTACTTACATTGTCACATAGCTTTCGAAATTCTGTGCGACGGGAATACTTCAAACAGAACTTGAAAGCTGAAATTAGGTTACACAAAGTTAGTATTACAGTGGACACTGAAAATACTTAATACATGTAGTTACACATGCGTGGAATAAATGTGATACAAAGCATGCACTTTATAGCAAATGCCCCTTCCCTATTTTCTCAGGAAAAAAATAATTGGAATAAGAAAATAGCCCAGAGAAAAAACACATAGGTTAAAAATCATGTTTCTATAACTAGATAGAAACACAGAACTAGCATGAGCTGTTGATGTTTATGATGGCACACGCAAAGAGAATTAAATTCTTGATAATAAAAGTAAAGAAGTTGCTTTCTTTTTTTCGTTGTGGT